AATGAAAGTTAATATAATTAGTACCTATATTGGTACATTTTTACATTACCTCTTTCTTTTTTCTTTTTTTAATATTGAGTTCACAAGGGAACAACAAAATGTCATTACAATAAAAATACAATAAATTACTGTTAAGGAAATAAAAATAAAACTCCCTAGTTATTAGATAACTCCTAATTTCTTCTGCAAATTGACATACAAATATTATGTCTTCTCACTTCCATCTCATTGTCATCACCTTCAACATGATTTTCATGGCGTGCTTGTTGAGACAGTGATCCTTCCTCATCATTAGGCACATAATCCGAGAATTTATCATAAGAGTCAAATGCAATATCGCGAAACTCACTTCGTCAAATGAAATTGTGAATTGCCATTGTTGCACAAACAAGTTTGACTTGGGTCAACCACTTCTAGTTTGGTGGGATATCCTTTATCATCGGCCATCTTGCTTTCCAAACCCCAAACGTTTTTTCTATTACACTTCTAAGTGATGAAAGTGCTTGGTTGAATTTTTCTTGTGCATTTCGGAGGGGGTTGACCATGTTCAAATTCAGCTAGATGGTATCTCTCCTTTATAAGGTGCAAGATATCCTTTCGTGTTTGAATTCCCAACATCCACAAAGCAAAACTCATCTATTTTAAAATTCCAACAAGAAATTAAAGTAAGCAATTATAAATGTAAAAATAAATATGAAGATATGAGTGTGGTGCATTTACTGTAGCAATCAAATATAAAACAGTTACCTCCCTATGGTTTTGGAAAATTATAACTAGGATTCCTAATTGTATCTAAGAAGATCCGAGTATCGTGTGCACTTCATTCCCACCCTGGCAAACAAAATGTGAAACACATATCAAAGTCACATGCGGCCATTATGTTTTGAGTCTCATACCCCTTTCTACTTATTAAACGAGGTTATTTATCTAGAGATATATATGCTTTGATGTATGTTCCGTCAATTGCTCCAATTACAAAATTTAGAATAAAAATATATTTATTGATTATTAGAAATATCCTAACAACATTAATTATATGTAACACCTAAGTTCCACTTGTAGTTAATTATTACCTTGAAATGAGGATAGTATCTGCGGTTGCTTCTAATATATGGATGCATACCAATCTCGGTTAAGGCCTTACCCAATCAATAGACATCATTGTAACAGCTTCTAACACCTTCTTGAAGTATTTTGAAATTGTGTCTCTGGAATGTTGAAATCTTTCTTGGACATTTCTATTTCGAATGTCACCGCCAACCAAAAATATTGCAACCTGCTCCTGAACCCCAACTTTTCGTCCAGTTTGAAGGCCATAGTTCGATTGTAACAAATCACACAATTGAAAAAATACCTCTCTTTCCATTCAAAAATTTTCAAATATTCTTGTCTGATTCCCTTCTTGTAATTCTACCATCCACTTCCACCTTGTTAGAGAAGATGTCCTACATGGTTCTTTTATCAAATAATTTGCAGCATATGTCACTGCAACTGTTGCCACCGTTGCTAAGAGCATATTATTATTTTGTTGGGTTTGCGATGTGCTATCTTCATCTTCAGCATCTTCATCATCATGATCATCATTCCATTCATCGTCACCACTGTTACTCATATCTAAAAGACCTACTCATTTAAAGGCTTCTTATTTACTAGTACAAAAATGAAATAAACACACACAATAATATTTATTAAAAACACAACTAATTATTGAAAACACAATAAGATTTGTTTACCCAAATACCTGGGGTCCAAAATTATTGAAAACATAACTATTGTCTCAACAAAAGACCTACTTGAAGAGAGATGAAACACCGAAATTGAACTCCACCAGAGGCCAACAGATCTACATATATTTATATATATACTTAAAGCCACCTACTACTCAACCATTCAATTAACAATGAAAGCCATTTAATAAAAAATGCAACTTCCAGTACAACCATTCAAATAGATGCCACCTACCATTCAACTAACAATGACAACCACCTAATAAAAATTGCAACTTCTAGCACAACCATTCAAATAAATGCCACCTACTACTCAACCATTCAACTAACAATGAAAGCCACCTAATAAAACCCCAACATCCAGAAATAATATTAATAAAAGTCCAAATAAAGGTCCAACATAAAATTCCAACATTATTAATAATAAGTCCTAATAAAGGTCTTACATAAACCTGAAATAATAATAAAATTCAGCATGAATAATAAGTCTGCCATACATCCATAAATAATATTAGCGATAACCTGTGTCGATCTTCTCCATCTCAATCTCCAACTTCAGAAACCTCAGCCGAACTTCATCCATAAGAAGTGTCATGAAGCACTCACGATACTTGTCTCTTAAGAACAATCTGGCAGCCCATACATACATTTCATCATTTGAGGACACACCAGGGATGCTTTCCAGCTTCACCAAACATTCTGCAATTGAATGATATCTTGCTGAGGTTTGTGTTGAAGTTGCTGAAGATGACTCAACCACATTGACTATGCGATCAAGTGTCTTGTTAAGTAGAATTGTACCAAAAAATCTCTTTTTTGCCTTGCCCTTGTTTGATGAACCATTAGTGTTTGATGGACGTTTTTTGTTTGAATCAAAAGAATAAACCACCTCTAAATCAACATCATCATCAAATTTAGCATCATGTGGGATATGATTTTGCAACACCCGAATTTTTAAATTTAATTCAATACTGCATTACCTAAATAAATAGAATCCCTTATTATATCAAAAAAGTGCATAGTTTAGAAAGTTGGAAATTAACCGATTAAATTGTTAAGGGAATAGATTGTGAGACATTGCATTTTTTGATATTAAATATTTTAGTAAGCAGTAAGTGATGTTTTATAGTTGGGTGATGAGATTTTTAGACATGAACCTTTTAGGAATCATAACTTTTAGAATTGAAATAAAATAATAATAAATAAATAAACCAAGTAAGATTTCTGTGGGCCAAGGGTTAATATGGCTCTTGGTGAATTCATGGGATTAAAGACAAGGGTCAAAACAGGTGGCAAAAAGAGAGGACATCTACGTGTATATCTCTTGACTTGGGCCTCACACTTGGGTAAGTATAAATAGAGGGTGTTGATGTAGAATGAAGCAACAAGCTAAGTAGAGTGAAAGGAGGAAAAGCACAGCACGTGGTTTGGGAGCACAGGGATAATATGGGTAAATTTATATTAAAGGTGAGTTATATTATACCTTGAATTACCATAACATGTTTTATATGTCTTGAGTTACCATAATATATTTTACAAATGTTTTGAGTTACCACAATTTATTTTATATAATTTATGTTTTATGGTTACATTATTGTTTCAATTACGTGGATTATTTTCTAAACTCTATTTTCTTAAATTGAAACACATGGATATGTCTGTTTAAATTTTAATAATTATTTGACAATGATTTTGTAAACAATTATTTTCTATATGTACCACAACGGGATTCCCACGCCTTAGGGGACTTAAATAAACCACTGGCTTCTGTTTGGCCACTATGTGGTCCTCTGTTTGTTATGGATCCATTGACCTCTGTTATGTTTGTTACTTCAGTGACCTCTGTTTTATTCTGTGCCGTGGTTATGGTTAGTTAATTACCTAATCTCAGTTTTGCTATTTATATGATTATTTGTTCAGATTAAGTTATTTTAAATAATTTAGTTTAAATAACTATTCAGTTTCTGTTACTTAAATAATTTGTTTATTTAAATTAAGTTATGTTAATTTTTAGCTTAAATAGCTATCCATGGTTATTTTGTGCCCCTATACTCACAGTATAATATTTCTCACTCTACTATGTGCTTATAACTGTTATCCCTTTCAGATGACGAGATTTAGCGGGATTAAGATGAGGGATAAATCGCAGTGTTTTTTTTTCTCACTTTTTTATCTGTATTTCTGATCGCACTCTTGTAATAAAATAAACAGGCCAAATGACTATTTTTCTTTTTTAATAAACTTTTGGTACCCATTTATTTTACTTAATTTATTTAATTTATCTGCCTGCGCTACTACTACAGAAATTTTAAAATTATTTTATTTTTATTATCTTGTTGCGACGTCGAACCTTTGGGTACCGAGTTTGGGTCGTGACGAAAATTCCTCCCCAGTCTCATCAATGTTAGACATAACCCCTGAGCTAGGGGTGCATGCCCATTCTCCAGTAGCAACTGCATTTGACAATAGTATGTCTAGGTCTTCAAAGAATTGCAACGGCATACGCCAAAATTTAGCAGCATCAGGATACCTCTGCAACAATTACAAAGGAAAATTTAACAATATGGCATATTTAAAATTTGGTCTATTTAAAAAAAAAAACAAACAAACAAACAAACAAATGTACATTAATCAATTAACTTACCTCCAATTTCTTGGTCCACTACTCATCAGATGCAGAGATAGCTCCAGTCAATGTATCACAGCCTAAGTCTGTCTCACCCCTTAAAAGATTATTCCATAAAAGCCAATCTTTTTTCAAAACATCTCAATGATTTTTCATTTGTATTCGTTGGTATGTTTTTCCAGTCATAGTTTTAAACTTAGTTATCACATTTTTCCACTCGACCCTATCTAAGTGTGTATCAGGTCTGTGTGCAGCCTTCACTTGCTCAACACAAAGCTTAATGAAAATTTCATTTGATTTTGCATCCCAGTGAGCCTTAACAGATGGTACTTGAGAGGATTTTCCCTTATTCTTTCTATTTTCAGATTGTGTTTCCTCTTGGGTACTGATTCTATGAAAGAAAAAAATTCTTAAAAACATACTCATTCACTCAATATCATTGCTTGCATTAAAACATAAGATTAGTACAGAATAACCATACATTGGCAACTGGGATAGACATATCAACATTCACGAAGTACATAGCATAGTACAATGATTTGTGGTAAACTACATAGCACAAAAACACCTGATCTAAAAGCCACCTACAATCATTTTGTCACGCTCTCAAAATACTAACATTAAACCCATCCATATAGGGACATGCATTGATACATAAAGGTCCACATTCATCTATTCATCAGGGTATTTCTTTACAACAGTGTTACATATTTACAACACAAAAGCAAATGCCCTACGGGCTTACAGCTTTCCAAGTTAACACTTGGTTACAAAAGAGAGTGCTAACTCAATTACACCTTAAGCCCTTGGCTTGAAACTATATGTAATACAATCAAGGAAAATAAGACAGCCAAAGTATGTCTGCCTCTAGCCTCCCAAGCTATGTCCTTAGAGGTGGCATGCTACCTGTACCTGAAAATGATGTTCCCATATAGGGTGAGCCACAGCCCAGCAGAGATATACTAAACCAACTATAAACAATGCCTAAAAGATTAGCAACTGATAGGTGGTCGATACTTACACATCCATTTACATCTTATTACAATTCCATGGCGGTCAAGTCTATGTTACAATTCACTTTCCGATTCTTATTCAACTTTGAGTTTGAAAACAAGGCTCAGTACTCTAGCCAAAACATTTGATGAGATTATAGTTCATCTCTAGAACATTTTCAAAATTCAAGGTGGATACACATTTTGGTGTTGTATCAATAACCCATAAGCTACTTCCATACTTCACAAACGATGATGATATACATGTTAGTGCTATATCAAATCAAACAAACTTTTCAATAGATAAGCATATGAGCCATATCACTACTACAACAGATAAGCATATGAGCTACATCAATACTACAACAGATAAGCATATGAGCTGTATCAACACTTCAATGACAAGCATATGAGCTGTATCAACACTTCAATGACAAGCATATGAGCTGTATCAACACTTCAATGGGAGAGCATATGAGCTGCATCCCTGGGTCCATCCCCCATCTTCCCTTAACCATTAACCATTAACCATTAACCGGTTTAGAGGTACATCTCCCATCTTCCCCTAAACCGTGGAGTACATCCCCCATCTCCTCCCATACACAAGTAATGCATATAAACACAGAATCACATACGCAATCAATCGATACATAAAGTTAATGTATTCTATCAATTGTCCACACATAATGCATATAAACACATTGGCCATATGCCCAATCAACCAACACATAAAGTTAATGCGTTCTATTAACCGTCATGCTCTATGACACATCCAATTGATTAGTTTTAGTTTACCTAATCATCATACATTGTCTACAACAATCAATACTACCCTCCACCGGTAGCCCAAAGCAATTATTTCTAAACAAGAAATAAATGCACAAATGGATAGTATATCAACATTCTAATTAGGTGAGCAATAAATGATTTAACTACACCCTTTAGTCCCATACATTTCCAATTTCAACATTTCCAATTTAGTTCCTTATTTCCTTTAATCAATTATATACATTAATTAAATTAAACAATTAGGGCAAATTACCTTAATTAAGAAAACAACTCTAAGGTTCCACTTTCATCCACAATCCATCATCCAACTTGCACATAGGTTTATTCCAAACAAAACCCCAATTTTTTGTGTAATTACACAAAAGGCCCAAACTTTCTCAAATCTACCTAACAACACCCAACATATCAAAATGCTAAAATTTAAAGACAAAATCCATAAAGAGGAGTAGGATATCCCTACCTCAAAAGATGGCTCTCAACGGAGAAGATGAAGAAACTCAACGTGCTCCAAAGCTCAATATTTTCGGATCAAATGATAGCCCTCGACGATCAACCCAACTTTTAAAAAGACCAAAGGTAAGGAGAACACCCTAGCTAGATCAAACCCTAGAGAGAAGGGAGATTCTAGAGAGAGGAGCTCTCAAAAATGGGTTTTAGAAAAGTAACAGAGAGAGTGTGGATGTAAAAAGTGATTTAAAATAGCCTAGCTGTCAACTGATATACGACTCTCCCGCTCGAGCGGAGAACACAACGCTCGAGCGTCAAGAACAAAGACTAGGTCCGCTCGAGCGCAAAAAGGCCCGCTCGAGCGCCAAGACACAAGAATAAAGCAAATCCGCTCGAGCGTGAAAATCAGTCCGCTCGAGCGTAGATTTCCCCCACCCAGAACTTACACCAAAAAGGTACTACCCGCTCGAGCGCTACCAATCCCGCTCGAGCGCGACCCACTCGAGCACAAGAAACCAGCTCGAGCGCAGAAAGCACATCTGCAGAAGTTTTGCAGAGGCACGAAATACTGAAACTGTGAAAACCCCGCTCGAGTGCAAGAAGACCCGCTCGAGCGGACCATTCAAAAAACTGAGCAACAACAATGGGAGCTAAAGCTCTAACAACCTGAAACAACTGAGCCCAACACATTCTAAAACTCAAACAAAAGAGTTTAAAGGTTGACAACACGATAGGTACAACTACCAACTCCACGGAACCGCGTCCGGAAAATGACAGAACAGTAAAGGGATAACCGGGATCACTATACATTTGACGAGTAATGCAACTGACATAACAATACAAATTGTGAGCAAACCCACAACAAGCTGCTTCATGAATGTTAAGGATTTCTCAAGCACTTGGTTCTTGACTTTTAGTCCTTTAGTCTCGATATTTTGATTTTGATAAAGCATTCTCTCGTTCCTTTGCCTCTCTACCATCGTCACATATTTTGGAGTACACCACCTCCAAAATTGACAATTTCTATTCTCACAAATGAAATACAATCTCCCTTTAGATGGCTTGTTAGACTTGGTAACCCTTATGGCAGCTCTTAGACCACAATCACATTTCAAAGCCTCGAACCTCAAGTCAAAGGTCTCAACACTTCCAGAATAGTTACTAGAGGATGACATACCTCTACATTAATTGGGAAGACTGCATCTCATGAGCAAGAATACAGACCAACACTCTGTATATATATATAGCCAACATTGCAACTCCTATAAATGACATCTAATAAAATGCATTATTTTCAATTTGGGGATCACAAATAATTCTTACATCTATCTAGTCTACTCTCAATTGAGCATTCTTTTCATTTGGTTTAATACTGAGATGTGTTGGTCCACATTGCAAAAAGATTCTAACCTCACAAACAAAACTCAATTTCCATAACTAACGCATAAACTTGAAACTACAAACTGAAATGAAATAATCTCCATTGAATGTGATCGTCAATTTCATAAGAATCAAAGCACAAAATTCAAATAATGCTCCACGCTTCCCAAAGTGCAAAGAGACAAATAAAAACAAAAACAAACACCAAGTACCCGTTTGGTTACTGAGAAAATAAAGGAAAAGAAAGCAAAATTTTCAAAATACAAGCCTCAATCCTGTGAAAATATGAGAATTGTTTAATTAAAAAAATTACTAAAATGAGGTAAATCAATTTGTCTGCCTTGTTTAAGGTGAAATTTTTAGCTTCTCGAAAACATAAAAAGAAAATCCTCAAATAAAACAGAGGCACCACTCAATTGCACTTGCAAACAAAACTTGTTAGCAAAAGAAATGCCTAATCTCAACCTAACTAATGAGCAAAAAGACGAACAAAGCAGAAACAAAACAAATGATCCGTTTAGTTAGTGAGAAAATAAAGGAAAAGAAAGCAAAATTTTCAAAATTTCAAGCTTGAATTATTTGAAAAAATAAAAATTATTTAATATAAAAAATCACTAAAATGAGGCTAAAACCTTAGCCTTTCAGCTAAATTCACACACAAACACTACTTACATAAAAAATCTAACTACAAATCTTCAAAATCTATCTAGAGAGAGAAAAAAAATGAAATAAAATAGAAAGCACAAACACTTTTAGAGAGAGAAAATGAGAGACTAAACACATAGTCGAGAGAGAGAAAGAGAGAGAAAGAGAAGGAAAATCAATGAATGAAGACCAGAATCGAAGCATCGAAGGAGATAACTCTCAGTCCTTGCTGGGTTTTTTTGAACATTCAAATAGTGATGTGTGTGTGTGTGTATGTGTGTGTGTGAGAGAGAGAGAGAGCGAGAGAGAGAGAAGGGAAATCAATGAATGAAGACCAGAATCGAAGCATCGAAGGAGATAACTCTCAGTCCTTGCTGGGTTTTTTTGAGCATTCAAATAGTGATATGTGTGTGTGTGTGTGTGTGTGTGTGTGTGTGTGTGAGAGAGAGAGAGAGAGAGAGAGAGAGAGAGAGAAGAGAGAGCTTCACAGTAATCGGATGGTCACCATTTCACAGAGCAACCAAAAACAAATACAAACCCTAAATTGATGTGTGTGTATATATATAACAAACATAGGGTTTGAAATCTTACTTTTTTTGTGGAGATCAATGGAAAACAGGAGACCTCATGAACAATTGCCTGCAATCTTGGATGTAGAGGCAATTCGTCGTTTACTAGAGAAAAGAGGAAAAGAGAAAAGAAAAGCGCCATGTGAGAAGAGAAGAGAGTGTTAGGTCTGAATAGAGAAAAGGGTTTATATATTGGCATTTTGGTCATTTTTGAAGTTTTGGAGGGGCATTTAAGTCATTACGCCCCCTCCATTTCAACTGCGCGCATAAGCTGAAAAATTTAAGCACCCCATTAGCAGCTTTAACTTTTAAGCTGAAAATCAATTAATTTAAGCTATAATCTATCTCTATAAGTTCTACCAAACACACCAAAACAGCTCAATTTAAGCCAAAAGCTTATTTAAGCTGAAAATAAGTGCTACTAAACAGGTACTTAGAATACATCAAAAAGAATATACTTGTAAAAAATCAAGTTAATCGGATATCATTTACCCATTCATCCACTCACATTTGTATCTGCAAAAATAAATAACAATTGTGATTTAAAGTATTAAAATGAATACAAATGTGAGTAGATGAATGGATAAATGATATTTGATTAACTTATTTTTTGCAAGTATGTTCTACTTGATGTATTCTAAAATGTGAATGGTTCGAATTATCGAAATGGGCCCCGAAATGACTCCATTTGGCTGCACAACAGTGGTTGCTATGTAGTCCCACACAAGAGCCACCCCAAATCCATAGTTGTTTTGTACCTTAGTTTTGAATTTCCAAAATTTGTGTTTGAGTTTTTTTATTTTTTATTTTTTTATTATTAGTCATGATTTTTTTTTATTTCAATTATTTTTTTAGATGCACATAATTTTTTTTTAGAGCACAAATGCACACAATTTAAATGTATTTAAAATTAAAATATTTGTGGAAAAATCTAAAACAATTCAATAAATACAAAAAAAATATATATGAAAATATATTTGAGTTTTTGTATTTTTGTATTTTTTTTTATTTGTATTAGTGAATTTTGTAGAGTTTTTTTTTCCCCATAAATTTGTACTTCTTAAATATATCCAAATAATCCAAATTAATGTGAATCTAAAAAGCATAAATTTTTAATTAAAATATAAAAAATACTAAAAATAAATAAAAAGAAAATTTAACTATAAATCCCATCCTGAGGAATAGTGATCCATTTAGTCTTAAGAATTTTTTTATAGACCAATTAGTCTCATTGATTTTGGAAAGATAGATTTAATATATTATTTAAAAATTAAATTTATGGTTATACCCTTATTTCTATTATGTTCCTTTTCTTTTTTTCTTTTGTGCTAGAAAGGTAAGTACACAATATATGGGAATCAAATTTGAGATAAATTTTTATATAAAAATCTTTTTTATTTGGAAAACATTTTAAAATGAATACAAAAATGACTTAAAATATGGGATTATTCAAGCATTCCAAAAGGATGTGTAATTTTTCAAATATTTCAAAAGGAGTACAAAATCTATTTGGTAAATTTTGGCCAAATGTATAATTGCAAACTATGATACTCTAATATAACACTCAAACGTAACACTCGAATGTAACACTAAAAAAAAGAAGTCTTAGTGTAATACCCTAACGTAACACATAAAAAAACTACATATTGTGCTTTTCTCAAACGTAACACTCTAATATAATACTCCAAAAAAACTCCTTATTATAATACTCTAATGTAACACACAAAAAAATTTCTTAGCCCAAACATAACACTCTAAAAAAACTCTTTAGTGTAACACTTTAATGTAACACATACAAAAACTCTTTAGTGTAATACTTTAATGTAACACATACAAAAACTCTTTAGTGTAACACTCTAATGTAACACATACAAAAATTTCTTCGTGTACTTTTCTCAAATGTAACACTCTAATATAATACTCTAACAAAAATCTTTAGTGTAACACTCTAATGTAACACACAAAAACTCATCAGTGTAACATTCTAATGTAACACACAAAAAACTGCTTAGAGTATTCTTTTCCAAACGTAACACTTCAATATAATACTCCAAAAAAATTTCTTACCTTAACACTTTAATGTAACACACAAAAAAACTCTTTGGTGTACTTTTTCCAAACGTAACGCTCTAATGTAACACACAAAAATAAATAAATAAATAAATAAAAATAAAAAATTCTTAGTGTACTTTTTCTAAATATAACACTTCAATGTAACAATAAAAAAAAAATTTTAAAAAAATGTGAAATTCTCCAAACCATTCCAAAAGGAGTACAAATATTCTTTAGTAAGTTTTGTGCAAATATATAATTTCAAACTGTGAGTGTTACATTTGGAAAAAGTACATTGAGGAGTTTTTTTTAGTGTTTTTGTGTATTACATTGGAGTATGTTACATTTGGGATTACACTTATTGAAATGTTACGTTTGGAAAAAGTACACTAAGATTTTTTTTTTTTTTTGAAGCATTACGTTTGAAAAAAGT